CCATTAAAACATGGGAGCACCATGATTCTTCAGGCCTAATGCGAGCACTGCATCTGAAGTAACTGACAAAGAAACTGATTAAGGCAAATGCTATCACTGAGTGACTCAGGGTGTTGATAAGAACTGGGGGCTCTGAAAAGCCTTGATCAAGTAACTCTCACACTTCAAGTACTACAAGGCCTGTTGGCTATATGGAGCAAGAATCAGTTGGTGCCAAATTAGGACCTGATGGATTAATCATAGAATCATAGAATCTTGGAAAGGACCATAAGATCATCCAGTTCCAACACCCCTGCCATGGGCAGGGACACCTCACACTAAACCATGTCACCCAAGGCTCTGTCCAGCCTGGCCTTGGACACTGCCAGGGATGGAGCATTCACAACTTCTTTGGGTAACCCATTCCAGTGCCTCACCACCCTCACAGTAAAGAACCTCTTCTTTATATCTAATCTGAACTTCCCCTGTTTAGATTTACAGAATAGTATCTCCAGGACAAGATACTCCTTAGAGATTCTTCTCTAAGGGGAAAGCTGGGAGCCATGCTCATCTACCTCATAAAAAAAATGCAGCTAAAAGCTGTGTCCCACACTGTGTGTCTTCGAAAAAATACATCAGGTAAAATTGTGCTCTTTCTCAGTACAGCCTGAAGAGGGGAGGCATCTTGTGTTAGCTAAACCAGCATCCCAGAGCCATCTTTGACACAAAAAGCAAACTATAGAGAGGATAAACTAGCATGGTTCATGTCAATGCTCTTGTAGAAAACCTCCCATTATAATATGGAGTTGCAAGGCACTGCAAAGGACAGTGTCACTTCCCAGCTAATGAGCATTTGTGGCCATGAACTCCTCTACTTGCTTCTCTTAGAGCTCACCTTCCTGTTGGGAATATAAAATACTGTCTCGATGACACACACCTGCATGGCAATGCATACACATGAACTCCCAATTAAGGGATAACACTGCAAAACATAAGTGGCTCTCATGAAATAAAGCAAACAGCAGTCATATTAATAATCAATTAGATGAAGCAGCCACCTGATGCTGCCTATTTGGAGAAGTCCCCAGCTTCCACCAGATTTTGCCCAGGCAAAAGCAGCTGAATGAAGTCTGTTTCACAGTCATCTTGACTTGACAAAACACCCTCTTCTGCCTCTTGACGCAAGGATGCTTTTCCCCTTGCTCTAGTTCTTAATTAAAGCCATGAATGTAGATAAATATCACATTCAGTTTTAAATCCAGCTGGGTCACCAAACTGTACATTACACCCTGTTCTGCATTTAAACTACTCTGTGAAACACCTCAATTATAATTAAAGAAGCAATTATCCCCCTGTTAAAGGTGCCACAAATCACACATTTCAATGCAAAAGTTTGTCTGGTAGCTTATGGCATATTAACCAATCTTACATCTCATTTATGTTTTGATCTATAACCTATTGCAATGAGCTAACTTGGTTTGACTCCGTGTCTTTAACTATATTTTATCATGTGCAGTATGATGCTGGCATCTTTCAAAGAACAAATTAAATGAGCTAAGGGTTTAATTGCTAATAACTCTGCCATTACTGTTGGAGTGTTGCAGAGTGGGATCCTTCCTGCTTTCTCAGGTTAGGTTTGAAAACATGCATACAGAGTAGAGAGTGGAATTGAAATGGATGTTTCCACTGATGCTGTGGAGCTGTCTGATTTCCACTGAACACTGGCAGCTCCCACCAAGTCTGGTGTGTCAGACTGCTTATGTCACCCCCTTACCCTATTTCTCCCTGTCGAGGAGAAGCAGGAGACAGGGAGCTACAGAAGGGCATTGTTTGGTTTTATGTCCCTTCCTTTTTGGTTTTGGTTGTTTTTCTTGGTTTGTGTTTTGTTTTTTTTTTTTTCACCATAGTAGGTATATGTAAATTTGCCCCTTCACCATTTGACTATGTGTGGAAACCTCAGTATAACAGTGTCTGCATTGGTCCTTCTGCTGCTTGATGGGGCCATGCACTGGAAAAGACATAACATTTACCCAGGTGTTTCAGAACCTGCAGGCAGGTTCAGCTTGATATATAAGATTGGGAGTGGTGAGGCATGCCATGGTGCAGCTAGAACCGATGGTGGTCAGGGCTGGTGGTCAGGGATATATAGCTGCAGAGGAGGTGATCTGGTTTTCCCAGAAACCAAGCAAACCCTTGGTTCCTTACTTTGTCCCAGGTGAACAAGTTAGACATACTTCAATTTGACTTCAGGCTGGTGTACTTTAACATACCTTCTTCTATTTGGACCTTGGGCTTTTTCTTTTTTTCTGGTGGCCGTGATCTGAGCCTACTCTAATACTTGTCATGTCCTAGTGGATCTGAGGGACTGGAAAGTGCTGCCTTAAAAGCCTTCCCTGCCATCTCTGTCTTTGTCCTTCTTGCCCTCTGGAGCAGCTGTATGCTGTTATGTGTTTCAGCTTTTCAGTAGTAGCAAGATCTGCTCTAGCATTGATCCATAAGAGCTTGACACAGTTAATTGCAGTTAAATATGCTGGGAATGATAAGACTAAATTCCCCAGCTACTGAAAAGAGGACAGAATGTATCTCTGAGCATGGTTGTTCCCACCACTTTGAAATACCAGGAAAAAAAATAAAATGAAGGGGGAGAATAAAATCAAAGAGAAAAAGCAGGGGGAAATTGCTGGGACTCTGGACTCCAGCACTGCATTACACTGAACGTGTATGCTGTGCAGTTTCACAGTGTAAGCTTTTCTTCCTCAGTTTTGGTGCTAAATCCAGTGACTATTTCAGAGGCCAGTAAGTGGAAAAAAAAACAAAACAATACACAGTGCCCAGAGTAGGAAGAGTCTCAGGTACGTGCTCACAAGCATTTAGAAATGCTGCTCACAGCTGCAGCAATGCATTATCCCACTCAAAGTTGCCTTTCAACAAGATGGGAAATAACCTCAGCCTGCTGCCAGGCTTCTCCTAAGTCCTTTTTTACTTAGTTACCTGTGCCATCATATCAGAAACTTCTGTGAACAAATAAACGAAGTCTTAAACAAAGAACTCATTCATCTTTAAATTCAAATAATCATGTAATCCTTCAACCCACCAAGTTACCTTTCATCTTCCCATTTTTTAAAATTTATCTTACCAGCTTCAGCAAGTGGCTGTAATAAAGTGTCACATTAAGGTATTCATATTCATTAGTGCTCGGGTCTTTGTTCTTTTAATAGTGTTGGAAAGAATCTACAAAGAAGCTGTATTAGGCGGCTGTCCAATCTGGGTGTTTGATCTCCTTCTGACTTCAAAAGTCAGAAGAGGAAAAAACCAACACCGAGAAGAGTTCTTTTGAATGTCAGACAGGGAGTATACGATTTCTGAACCTGCCAAGTGTTAATTGGTGTCTGCCCTGACCACAGTACAAGTAAGATTCAGAGCCAGTTAATGTACAGTCATGAATCTCAGCTATTGACAGAGTGAGCCAGAATACTAGAAGGCAGGAAAAAGTGCAATTATTATGAGAGCAGCTCACAGAGGATCTTTTCAGAGATCACTTCCACACAGCATGTCAAACCATACTGTTTTAGTCCCAGCCACACAATGGGGCATTACAGACCTTTATGAGGGAATAACCAGACTGGCTGCTGAAATTTCAGAGGAGTCTGTAACACAGCATTCAAACTATCCGTCATCATCAATCTCTGTTTCTAGCAAAGGTAATGAAGTTCCCCAGTACTACTCTGCACTACCTGAACAACATATCCCACTGCAAACACTCCTGTCATGGCACAACAGCAAGTTGATTTGATGCAAAGAAGCATCAGAAAGGAAAATAAAAAATTGCTGCTAAGTCCCTGAGGAAAGCAAACTGATTATTATTACAGTTGTCAGGAAGCTGGCTCGGCAGACCTAAATGGTCTCTACTATTTTGGGGATCTTAACAGGGAAAGAAAACAGCCTATGGAACATGAAAATGGGGAAAATCTTCCATGCTAATTATTCCTTCTGATGTTTGTGGGCACGTTTCTGCAATTCCGATTAAATCTAGGCTTGGGTTAGATGGGGAGGTAACACTTTAAGCTTCACCTTCTCTGAGAAAACAGTCATCAGCACTGAGTGACAACCACTTTGCTGCTTAGCCATGACAGTCTCAACTTATCCTAATGCAAATTGGCAACAGCTTCTTCTGTAGCGTGGTGGAGGAAAACAGATGAGAATTCAGATCGGGGAATTACCATCATTAACTATCAATTTTTCTCTTAACAGCTGCAACAGATTTAGGATTTCAGAGGCCTCCTATGACTCAGATACCCCCTTCTTGTGAGCAGTGTATCTGAACCTGGAGCCACCATTGCACTCAGGGAAGCTGCTGTTTCACAGGGACACCAGCTGCTGTTGGTGGGCACAGATTCTGATGAACTGTAGGCTTGCTCCTGCAGGTAGGGGCCATACTACCCATTGTAGGTTTACTTAAAAGCCAGGAGGAAAACCAGATAAGCCTCTGAAGATGGATTATTAGACAGATACATCCTCTACTTGTCTCCATCTCATGCTGCTTCACCTGGGAGCCCATACTGGACCATGGCACATCCTCTTCTGCCAAGCTGATTGGCTGGTGCACACATGAGCACATGCATAAACATGGGAAAGAAATACAATCTGGCAATCTAAAAATTAAATGCTATGATTGAAAGGTGCCTCTCAGAATAAGTGTGTTTTTTTTTTTCTCTAAAAGGAAAAGGAAAGATAGCAGGTTGTTATGATATGCTCGACAAGCTACGTGTCCTTTGGATGCCAGATATAACTGTGATCTTTGAAAGGGAAGAAAAAAATGAAAGAAAACTGCTGCAGCTCTTTCCAGCAAGGCACTATAATCCAAAACCATTAATCAGATCCCGATAAATCTTGTCCATGAAAAGCAGTCAGTCAGCTCTCCATTACCACCCATTCTTCATGCCATGCCCCATTACTGCACCATTAGCCACTGATCAGGCCTTAGAATGTCCAAGTGCCAGGACACTAGTGTTACTGCTCACCTCAGCTACCGGGATGCCTTCAGGAGGACGGCACTGGAGCAGGACCTCTTGCTCCAGGGACACTTCTTTCCCCAAGGGCTCCTGCTCAAAAGTTTTCCGGAGATCTGGGGAGGGAGAAAGAGAAGAAAAAGAAGCAGTAATATTACTAGCTGGTTGTTTAAATTACATTTGATTGCCATAGTGAATAAATGCAAGAGCACTTTCTAAACAGAAAAAAAAAAAAGCATTTCTGTTTCCCAGAAAGTGAAGCACTTAAAAAAGACTGGGACATGTTTCCACTTCATTCCAACATTAAGTGGTTAAAGGTTTCATAGTGGATTTAGTATTTGTCTTGTGGTAGAGCATGTGAACCCAGCAAGGATCCACAGTCTCACTGGGGAAAGTCATATCCAGACACAGAACAAAAATCGAAACAAGTCCCTTTTTCAGATAATTTGGTAACCTATGCCAGTGATATACTAAAGAAAGTTACAGAGAATTAAAAAAATCCCTAGAACTACAGCACATAACCTGAGCTGCCTTAAACTCATGGATGAAAGTGCTCGTGCTGCAATTTAATGTACTTTTAGTTTATAAGCATTAACTTTACAGCTTTAGCTATTTGTCTTCACTTTCTCAATATCCATGTAGCAATAAATTGTTACTGTTATTAGTATTATTATTATTAATGTGGAGCTGAACTGTGCTCGGATCCCTGAACAGCACCACAGAAATGTGGCAGGCAGAGAGGGCATGGAATGTGCCCCCAAACATCAGACCAATTCCATCATACTGGACAGCTGTGCTCTCCAGCTTTTTTTTGTACACTTCTGTAGTATCTTTGCATTGGTGGTAAAATGGACTTGATAAGTCCCTTTTTACTACTGGCTCCATATTTCTGCCACAGACTGGCATCCTCTCCACTGTGCTTGGGAGGACATGGCTCTGGAGAATTGAATATCCAGCCCCAGTAGCAACTGGAAATATTTCTCTCTGCTGCTGGTTCCATCTACAAATGGACATGGGGCCATGTTCAAAGTCACACCAAAGAGCTGGCCTGACTTCAAAAAAACTTGCAAAAACTTGTTTTAATTTTACTTTTTGTTCTGAATTCAGAACATTTCCTTGCGCCAGTGCATGGTGAGGTTGCACAATTACTTGTGTCGTATTGGAAACAAGTAATATAGGAACAACTTAAAAGCCAAATATTTCATATTTTAAAGCCACAACATGCAACTGTACTAGAAAACAGGTCACTGAATTGAACCAATTTACAAATATGCCATGCAAAGAGTTATATTTCATCTAGATTACCTCCAAGAACTGATTTGCAACTAACCCCACAAAGGAACTTTCTACCAAAAGCCCCAAAAGGGCCAGGCAAACGTACAGCTGCAAAAGGTGATGTGATGTCTGCCACCAAAATCAGCTCCTCTGAAACTCTCCTTTAGATAGCATGAGACCTCTGTCTCTTAGCCTACATGGGGAAAATGTTGTTCTTTCAACTACCTGGAATTAGATGTGAATCTAAACATGACATGGACAACCTCTGCCATAACCGGAGATGCTGATTTTAACTTAAGTTGATAACATGGTAAACTTCTAATGTCCTTAAACCTATTCATTTCCCTAGTGAAACTGAGGCATCTCTGTTCTTCCCCTGCACCACAGGCACGAGAGGCATGACCTCAAAACCCGCTCCCTCCCCACCACTGGCATTCCTGCTCCCTCCAATACACAGGGCAGGGATGCTGAGAGCCTCTCTGATGGGATTTATGGCTACAGTTTAGGGCACAGAAAGATAAGCCCTGGCAGATCTTACCCTGGCAATATAAGAATTTATTGCCTCCAGCTGTCTCCTTGTTTGGGGTTTATTCTTTGTTGAAAGGAAACATATGCCAATATTACAGCTACTTCCATACAAAATCCACCACTTTAAAGTTAGTTGTTGATGAAAGGTGCTTTAACCTACAACACTGTATAACTTTCATCAAAGAAAAGGAGCACACATCTGGAAGTGATTGTTTCTTAGGATCACATGCCAAGCTTCACCAGACTCTATGCCTGTCAGCATCTTTGTCACATAGGATTTATTTCAGGCTAGCAAGGCTTGTTTATGTGAAAGTGAGTGACCACAGCAAGACAAACAGACAGATTTAGGCTGTCTAAGGATGTCTGTACATAGCTCCCACTGCATCACCAGCCCACTGACTTCAGCCTACCCTCTCTGACAGGATAACCAGGCGAGATTTGGGTTGTATGGGTCAATTTGAGCTGTACAACCAACACCTTCCAGGTGCCCTGTGGGGGTAGCAGCCATTCCAAGGACAAAATGCTGAGTGACCTTCACAGAATGGTCAGGGCTGGAAAGGACCCCAAGATCATGAAGTTATACACTGCCACCACCCTCCCCACACACCCCCATCTAAATGTTAAACATGGAGATGAGCAGCTCTTTCAGGAGCTGGTGGATTTCTCAGAATGTGACATTCTTCCTTTGGCCCAGGCTTCCCACACATCCTCTGGGCTCAGTAGGTATCCTGGGCACATATCATGGCAGGTTAATACAGTTTGCATGGCAGGTTAATACAGTTAATAACTTTGCCTCAAGTTAGCAAATAACTAGGGTTATACGGCTAGCAGTACCTTTAGGATCGTATTGTCACTACTTACACAGGTATTACCTCTACATCAGGTACACCTTAGTGCATCTAGCAGGTACACATATGTGCACAGTGCAGACAATTACAACAGAAGTATCATGCTCTGATATCATGGCTGATGATAAATGAGAAAGTTACCATGCTGGTAGTAGAAATGTATAAACACAGTAATAAACAGTATATTGATAATAGCTTTCAGGTGTCCAGATATGGAGGGATGAAGACAGTAGAGGGAGATTAGCTAGACAATAATCTGAGTTTTTTTTCCCTTGACAGGTTGATTTACTGTCCTACCTGCCTTTCTGAAACATTAACAGCTCTGAATTTCACCATAGCCTCATGTGTACAAGGATTACCTATCTCATAAAGACCTTGCCTTAAGAAAACCCCAAATTTTAGTGCATACAAAATAAAATGGCATTAGTTTAGCAATGCATATTAATATTAAAAATATCCCACTTTAACCTCTTTATTATCGACAGCAGGAATTATCACAGTATCACAGTATGCTAGAGATTGGAAGGGACCTCGAAAGATCATCTAGTCCAATCCCCCTGCCGGAGCAGGAACACCTAGATAAGGTTACACAGGAATGTGCTCAGGCGGGTTTTGAATGTCTCCAGGGAAGGAGACTCCACAGCCTCCCTGGGCAGCCTGTTCCAGTGTTCCGTCACCCTCACTGAGAAGAAGTTTCTTCTCAAGTTTAAGTGGAACCTCTTGTGTTCCAGTTTGTACCCATTACCCCTTGTCCTATCATTGTTTGCCACTGAGTAGAGCCTGGCTCCATCCTCGTGACACTCCCCCTTTGTGTATTTATATACACTAATAAGGTCACCGCTCAGTCTCCTCTTCTCCAAACTATAGAGACCCAGCTCCCTCAGTCTTTCCTCATAAGGGAGATGCTCCACTCCCTTAATATCTTAGCTGCCCTGCGCTGGACTCTCTCCAGCAGCTCCCTGTCCTTCTTGAACTGAGGGGCCCAGAACTGGACACAATATTCCAGATGGGGTCTCACCAGGGCAGAGTAGAGGGGAAGGAGGACCTCTCCCGACCTACTAACCACCCCCCTTCTAATACACCCCAGGATGCCATTGGCCTTCTTAGCCACAAGGGCACAGTGTTGGCTCGTGTTCATCCTGTCGTCCACTAGGACCCCCAGGTCCCTCTCCCCTACACTGCTCTCTAACAGGTCGTTTCTCAACCTATACTGGAACCTGGGGTTGTTCCTGCCCAGATGCAGGACTCTACACTTTCCCTTGTTATATTTCATCCCGTTATTCCCTGCCCAACTCTCCAGCCTGTCCAGGTCTCGCTGGATGGCAGCACAGCCTTCTGGCGTGTCAGCCACTCCTCCCAGCTTAGTGTCATCAGCAAACTTGCTGATAGTACACTCAATTCCCTCATCTAAATCGTTGAAGAATATATTAAATAATACCAGTCCCAGTACTGACCCTTGAGGCACTCCACTAGTTACAGGCCTCCAACTAGACTCCGCCCCATAGACTACAACTCTCTGGCTTCTCTCCTTCAGCCAGTTCACAGTCCACCTCACTACCTGATCATCCAGACCACACTTCCTCAATTTAGCTGTGAGGATGCTGTGGGAGACTGTGTCAAATGCTTTGCTGAAGTCAAGGTAGACCACATCCACCGCTCTGCCATCATCCATCCACCGTGTTATTTCCTCATAAAAGGCTAAGAGATTGGTCAAACATGATTTCCCCTTGGTGAAGCCATGTTGACTGCCCCTCATAACCCTCTTATCCTTGATATGCCTTAAGATGGCACCAAGGATAAGGTGTTCCATCACTTTCCCAGGGATGGAGGTGAGGCTGACCGGTCTATAGTTACCTGGGTCCTCCTTCCTGCCCTTTTTGAAGAGACTGGAGTGACATTCGCTTTCCTCCAGTCCTCAGGCACCTCTCCCGTTTCCCAAGACTTGGTAAAGATGATGGAGAGCGGTCTAGCAATGACTTCCGCCAGTTCCCTCAGCACCCGCGGGTGCATCCCATCTGGATGCATGGATTTATGAATGTCCAGATTGCTCAACTGGTCTCTAACCCATTCCTCATCGACTAAGGCAAACCGTTCCGTCGACCTGACTTCATCTAAGGTCTCAGGGGTACAGGGCTCTTCAGGACTGCCTGCAGCAGAGTAGACAGAGACAAAGAAGGCATTCAGTAACTGCCGTCTCTGTATCTTCTGTCACCAGGGCACCCATCCCGTTCATCAGTGGGCCTACATTGCCTCTGGTGTTAGTTTTATCTGCCATGTATTTGAAAAAGCTCTTTCTGCTGTCCTTGACCCCTCTCACCAGATTTAATTCTAAGGAGAACTTAGTCCTCCTAGCTGCCTTCCTACATCCGCTAGCAGCAGCCTTATATTCCTCCCAAGTGGCCAGCCCCTCCTTCCATGACCTGTAAACTCTCCTCTTCCACTTGAGCATACCCAGCAATTCCCTA